CTCCGCCAATACAATCTTGTTCCAACCCCAACATCCCTGGACTGAAATCACAAGTGATTGTGTTTTTGATTTTGTTTGGGGTTAGAGTCTCAAGATTTATGTGGAGAGATAGTAAGAGTAAACCTGGGTAAGTCGGGGGAGTATTTGTTGGAAGGGATATTTGATTGTATCCATGAAATCACAGCGGCTATGGCTTCGTCTAGGATGACCGAATCAGCCTACAGAGTCCGAACCACTCCTCGCCTATCTCAATGGCGGATCGACAACCTTGCCTCTTGCACTTACCGCAAATCCGATCCTTTCAAGATCGGCCTATGGAACTGGTCTGTTTCTTTTTTTCTATTTCAACTTTTTGATGAATTCATTTAAGCTTTTCTTCATATATATATATATATATATATATATATATATATATATATATATATATATATATATATATATATAAAACATGAATATGATCATGAGTTAGTTTCGTTTTTGGATCATGAGATAGAATCTATCACGAAAACACAGTAAAGGATGTGAGTTTTAATAAGCATGCAGAAAATCTTGTTTCAAGTTTTACCCTGCTTTATGACCCTCCCAAAATTCTGGGTTGCACCTTGCTTCAACCAGGTTTGAGTGGAATTTTGATGTTATTTGGACTCCTTTTTTTGGTTCTTTGAAACGAAGGCATTTATATGTGGAAAAAACAGGGTGCTGTACGTAAGATTATACCCAGAAATTTCAAATCTGACAAGGGATAATCCTCCTATTGCCTCCATCATCCGAGTTGTCTGCTCGGTCCATCCAGGTACTCAAATCTCAATCATCATTTATTGGTACATGATTATAATCAATTCCTGTGATTTTATTTATGCAATGCTTTTCTTATCGATTTTGAGTTTTGATGCTCTCGAGATCCATGTTTTCTCCTATTGTTTTCATTTTTGGAAAATGTGTTCAGAGGAAAAATACTGCTAACAATCAGAGTAAACTGTTTTAATTAGAAAAAAGTAATATAACTTAGAGTTAATTGTATCATATACCCTCAAACTATGGTTCTCTTCTAAAATTGGTTCTCAAACTTTTGAATATTCCAGATTCATCCCCAAACTATGACTTTCATTCTAAATTAGCCTTTAAACTTTCAAGCATTTCAATTTCATTCGTAAGTTGTGACCCTCATTGTAAATGATTAGTTTCAAACATAGTTTAGCCTAAATTTTATTTTTTTCAAACATATAGTAATATAACTTGGCCTAGTGGTTTTATTTATAAAGGAAATGATTTGTATATACATATAGTTTGGGATGAAATGGAAATGTTCAAAAGTTTGAAGACTAATTTAAAATGATAATATAGGTTAGGGATGAAATTGAAATATTTAAAAGTTTAGGGACTGATTTAGAATAAGAGTTATAATTTGAGGATGCGTGATACAATTAGCTCTATAATTTAGTATTTAACTTAATAAAGAATTAAATCTCACATTTTGTCAAAGTACAAGGACTAGCAGTGTAACTTGACATTTTTGTCCTTTTTTCACCCCTTTATTTATTGCATCTATTTACAGAAATAACAGACAAACAGCTGAAGAACAACGACGATTTTATGTGGCCGATTGAGGTTCCTTTCACGGGGAAATTCATTATTGACGTCAATTTCTTGACGTAAAGATTGCATCTCCAAACGTAAGTCTCTTATGCAATTTTGTCTGTGGTAAAAATAAACCAAAAAGTTCAGACCCTTAAGGCAATTTTTTTTTTAAAGTTAGGGACTCCTTAAGGCAATTTTTAACGAGCAAATGACCAGCTTGTCCCACCCTAATATCATTCCTATACTTGATGAATCGAGTGTACTATGAAAATATTAAATTATCATATATTTTAAATTTGTTTTCTTTATATTTTTTTATAGATTTTTGCTCGCTAAAATTTTATAAGTTGATCGCCTCTTAAAATATTTAAAAGTTTACTCTCGATAACATAAAATCATGCGTATGTAGATGAATGTATTAACAATTATGTTTTGCAGGGTGGGGAACCTTGTTCCATTTGGGCAGAAGGGTTCACAACAAAGCAATCGAAACAAACAGTATTAGCATGCCTCGGTCGAATGATAACCGAAGGGATCAACACCGACATCATCATCAACGTTTCCGACAGAAGCATCGGACTTCATCGAGCCGTTTTAGCATCAAGATCACCCTTTTTCCTCAGCATGTTTTCGCTCAACCTGCAAGAGAAACAACTCTCGACCCTAAACATATCCAACATGACGATTGACGTTTGCCGGGCATTCCTAAGGGGTACATTTACAGGAACATTGAACATGAAGAATTTCAAACTCACCGATTGGCACTTCTCCAGGAAGCTCATAAGTACGATATCCTGGACTTGAAAGAGGCGTGCCATGAGAGTCTAATGGAAGATATCGACACAAAGAATTTACTTGAGAGGCTCCAGAATGCAAACTTATACCAATTGCATAACCTCAAGTCGAGTTGCATTCGGTATCTCGTAAAGTTCGGTAAAATATATGATATTCGAGATGATTTGAATGCTTTCCTGCAATGTGAAGATACGGAGCTCATAGCTGATATATTTAATGAAGTTTTAAATACTTGGAAAGGATTCTAAGATTCCTCCATTGTTGAACAACAAACTTTTATTTACATAACATTCTTTTGCTAAGATTTAATTCATCTCGTGTCAATGTACATATTGGGTTTAGTTTCACATGAACAAGTTATCCTTTCCTTTGTTAACATAACTTCCGAAATAAAATATCATCATCTGGTTGAAAGATTGATGTATATTATGAAATTTGAACATTTGGTAGCAATTTTCAAACACTCCCTTGACAATCTAACAATAATAATAAAAAAACGAATAATATATGTAAAGGCTGACTAAATGATGTTTTACATATACGTAATTTGTGCATCTTTTAGCTTGTGTTTTACATCTGCATTTATAATGTTTGCATCATTTTGATTCACATAAAAGAGGGAATTGTCTGAATATTATCTAATCAACACATTCTTGTCGAAACATAGCTTTTTAATATGTTTGCTAACTGTCAAATATATATGGAAAGACGGGATCAAGTGTATACAAGTCGAACAAATAATAAGGTGATGTATAAAATCGTTTGCAAAAGGTTGATGGGGTTGTACTTCATGCAATTGCACTATTTAAAAAATAAGACTTAGTGATCAAAATAAGACAATAAAAAATAAAAGTGACTAGATTTTTATTGAAACTTAGTCCACGATTGCAATTAATTTTCACTTTAATGATCAAACTTGCCTATTTAGTTGCAATTCATCCCTAACTTAATCTAGTAAGTCATGCAATTGCACTATTTAAAAAAAGACTTAGTGATCAAATAAACAAAAAAAATAAAAGTGACTAGATTTTTATTGAAACTTAGTCCACGATTGCAATTAATTTTCACTTTAATGATCAAACTTGCCTATTTAGTTGCAATTCATCCCTAACTTAATCTAGTAAGTAATAGATTAGACCTTTTTCAATTTAGTAACGAATAATGACCGTGACATATTGTTATTGCTACATTTTTCATATAAATAAATCAATAATAGCCTACAAATCAACAATAACCCTAATCTATAATAAACTATAGTGCCATATTGTTATGTGCATGTTGTGTAATCCTATTAAGTCTGAAAATTACTTGGTCTATCGACACTATTTAAATGATCCTTAATTTTGTATGTGCAATCACATAGTGAATTAGAATTATTGTCTTTTAAGATTAAATCTAAGAATTTTCATATTTATGCATTACTTTAATAGTTTCAAACGATAATTTTTTATATAATTTATCCTAACTACACCAGCAGCTAACTTTTAATTAATGTTGTATAAGTCTAGTAATAGTCGTGGGACTTAAGTAACCTTATCACTTTTTCTTACATATATAATAAAAAGTTAAAGTTTCCATTAAATAAAATATTTAATATAGAAAAAAATGTTTAAATTATACCTCCTTTTTTATTTAGATATATTTTTCGGTCAGTGTAAGTGTTTAACATTTTAAGTGTTTACATCGTAACGACTATTAAAAAAATATCGTCAGACACTTGAGATGTGACACATGACATATTTATAAATTTTTTAAAAATTTATTTAATAAAAACTTAAAATTATTATTATTATTTAAAAAAGTCTAAAAATATTTCTAAAATCTAATAAAAATTTCAAAATCTTCAATCCCAAAACACAAACCCCACTCGTCGACTGTCCCCTATCGTTGTTGTCATTGTCGGTTGCCTATCCATTTGTCGTCACCTATCCACTCATAGTTAGTCATCACCCATAGTCTCAATCCCTATAATTTAAAACCCTAAATTCAAACTCTAAAACCATAAATCCCAACATACATTCATCCTAATCGACGAATGAGTGATCGTAGTTAGTGATGATGGTCAACAATAGAAATGAAGGTTTTGAATATTTTTTTGAAAATTAAGAAAAGTTGAGGGGTTTTTTAAATTATGAATTTTAATTTTACAAAATGAAAAGAAATAAAAGTTAGGTCATATGCCAATTACTGATTGGTTGATTGGTTTTTAATATTTTTTTTAATGATCATAACGTTGTAGGCAATTAAAATAGTGATGTTGGAACATTAATCACCTACATTGAACAAAAAATTTAGGTACCTAAACGAAAAAAAGATATATAATTTAAACACTTATTTTTATATTAAGCTTAAATGAAAAAAAATAAGTACAACAAATGCAACATAATCTCAACATGTAAACTCAAAGGACGTGAAAAAAAAGATTCAAAACCCTCCCTTGAATATATGTTTCATTTTTCAAAAAAACCTAACAATTATCAGTAATCTCGATGTCTCTTTCAAACACCTAAATGTAATCTTGATGTAGACGTGTGTAACCAACATTTTTATCCGACCCATTATTATTATTATTATTACTAGTAGTAGAATTCGTATTAGTATTTATTATTAGCAATAAGTAAAAACAACCCAAAAAGAATTATTATTATTATCAAATTAAAATTATAGCCCATACAACCAAAAGTCCAACAGTGGCCCATGTGAAGGCTAGGGTTTCACCATTTTGCTCTTGGCGCCGCCTCCTCACAACCGTCAGATCTATATATGATGATTCAAATCAAGTGTTGATTAGGGTTTCCCAAACCCTAATGTCTTCCATTCACGCCGCATGTCGTGAGCCATTAGATCTGAGAGTGATATGATGGTCTAGATCAACTAGGGTTTTCACTCTAGCATTTAGGATCTACACTGTCGCCGCCTCCACGAACTCGTGGTGCCCCTTTCATGAGATGCACGTGCCATACTCCCCATCTCCCTAAGTTGTTATCGTCACCATCGTGATCCACGCCGATCACCACATGCGAAAAGAAAACCTCAGGGTAAAAACAGATTACCCCATACCTCACTCATGTCACCGCCACCCACAGAAAATGTCCCCTGGCTTTGACACCACCTCGGTCAGACCACCCAGAGTTGAAAAAAAGCAAAGAAAAACAGGGAAAACCAGAGATCTCATTCTTTCCATTCACATGCAACAATGAAATTGAGAAGAAAAAAAAACAAATCGAGACTTATGTATTCGAGACAAAAACCAAAAACATGAAGGAGACTTTAGAAAACCACGAAATCAATAAAAAATCTGAAAAAGGAAGAAAAAAGAGTAACAGAGAGAACGAAAAATATAAGAAAAAAGGAGAGAAGCAACGAACCTTGGCCTTCCACCGGAGCCTCCAAACGTTGTTGGAAAATGTGGACTTTTGAAGGTAGTCTCCTAGATCTAGGACGAGTGAAGCGGATATAGGGCAAGTGGTGAGTGGCTTCGCGTTAAAAAAAGGGAGAGACTCATTTTGGATTGGTTCACTTGAGTTCCAGCCACCGTGTATGACGGCGCAACGCGCCGGAGAGCGATGGCTGTTGGCTTTCGACCTCCCCCTATGAGGTGTAAAGCGGAGGAAAGGGGAGAAATTTGAGAGAAAAAAATCTCTCTTTGGTAAAAAAACTGAAAATGAACAAATAGGGTTTAATGGCTATTTTCGGCCAAGTCTTGGGGTTCTTGACTCAAACGATGACTTTTTGGGGCTCTAGGGTGTGTGTTTTAGAGCTTGGATAAATAATATTGTAGGCCACTTATTCTTTGTAACTTCACATTTTGGCCACTTAATGGATATTGGGTTTATTTTTAATTTAAACCATGAACTTTCATTCCATTTTCATTCTTGTCACTATCAACGCTTAATTATATTTTGGTTGAATGCTTATTTTGGTCCTTAACATTTTGAGTTTATTACACTTTAGCCCTCAGTTCATCGTATGTTAAAAAATGCAATATCATGTAGTATACCCTTCAAAGTTTAGTGCCTCATTTTATTTTAGTCACCATTTGCCTACTATTTTATTTCGGTTAAATATCTAATATGCATTAATAATTTAAGATTTATTTCATTTTAGGCCTACTTGTTTGTCACACGCTCGAAAGTTCTCTATTTATGTTTTAGATCCTTTTAACTTAGTTTCATAACTATTTTAGTCTCTGTCTTATCTAACTTGATTTTTTTATCCTTGTACTTTTATATATGTATAGTTTCTTTTTAATTTATTAGTTTTATCTCTAGCCTTTATTTTTAATATGTGTATATAGTTATTGTATATATATACACTTTTTTAACTCTTACATGTTTATATACATATTTTATTTTTCAAAATTAATATTGTTTAAAATATTTTTTTAAAATACTTATTTTATTTAATAATATATCTATATTTTGTACTGGTATCAGTTTTCAAGAACGTGTTTTGTAGAATGGGCGTGAAAAGTGCAACCAGTTAGAGGTAGCACTATTCAATACGACATTCGAATGAAAAAACGAACTTGAAATAATCGAGTACATTTTGATCAAAATGATGAAATAATATTTAAATCATTAGTTCATTATTTCATGACAATGTGTCTGTTTGTTTTAGCATGTCATTTAATTTAATTTTAATTTATATTCAATTCATTTTTAAGATGACGTTAAATTAGTCAATGTTCAACAAAAGGATCAAATTTTAAATTTTGACTCGAATGCACAAATTTCACCACTATAACACCATATAAGCGATCAGGTACCAATTCTGGACATTGTGGGGTGTTAATCCTTCCCCACACGTAACTGACTCCCGAACCCTTAAAAACAAATTTCGGGTAACACACATGGCCATTTTGTCTTTGTAAATGATTTTTCTAATTTTTTAAAAGACACTTTTACGTATTCGACCTACCCAACCGAAAGTCGATGGCGACTCCAGATTAATTCGATATGGAAACCCATTATCATTTCATAAAGTTCGATACTAAATTTTTAACTCCTTAAAAAAATGGTGTCGATAGCTTGTCGACTCCGTTAGGGATAAATTAGAAAGTCAATCCAATAATCGCTTATTCATTGACGTGGTAGTATAAATTATGGATTCGAGTCTAAAATTATTCTATGATTCTTTTCATTGAACATTGGTTAATTTATTTTTCATTCTTTATGAAAATAGTTGTACTAATTTTTGACTTCATGGTTGCAGCTTCATTAAAATTTTCATATCGAAAGTATTTCTATCTTTGTTTTATTTTTGTCAAAGGTTTGTGAGTTCCCCCTCACACCCATCATGTGTATTGACATGACATAAGCTCTATACATGATCTTCGTCCCAATTAAGTAGGGGTGAACACTATGCTTTCTTGGTGAATTTATTCCCCGTATGAGCTATAACGATTTACTTGTTGGATATATGGATTATACCTCCGTGGGAATTTATTTCCTCGTATGGGTATATGGAAATGGATCTCCTCGAATTGAACTCATTCTGTTTGAAGCATGTAATAGGTGAGGATCGAGGGTTTGGTAGCCTAAGGGGGAACCAACATTAAGGACAATTCGAGTACCCTTTCCCTGTAGAGCTAAAACCATGCATATAGTGAACCATAGACTGGTCACCCTAGGTAGAGCCATACCGAACCTCTGTCCGTCAGTAGGTACCGAGATACGCAAAGGAGGAATGACTCCAAACCTTTTTCTTTTGCCTTAAATTCATAGAATAATTTTTTTTCAAATGAAAGCATGCGAACTAGATACCACACAGTTAGGATTAATTTCTTGAAATAAAACATGTCTGGGTAAGACCCATTTCAGTAAATGATGTTGGGTAGATATCATGTTGAGCAGGTGCTAAATTCATCTCTAAATATCATTTTTTACTTTTATCAATTACCTTATTTGTACTAACTTATTTTTTATTTTTACGTCATTTTTGCCTTTTTGCATAATATCATCATCATATGATGCAAAGGTGTTGAACCGTAATTGAATATCTGAGTGAACATGTACCAATGAGAGAACAAGGGGGAAGCTTGCTTGAAGAATTAGGACATAATCTTAGATGAGACAAACTTTTAATGAAGCCTCTACACAAGCCCATGGGAATAGAACACTTGAGAGATCGAGTTTCTAAGGATGAAGTACCAAGATAAATCATCACGTACTTTAGACTAAGCACCCAAGTGAAGGCATGTTTGTAAAATGGACTACCTTGTAAAGTGAAGACTTCGATCTCCAATGAAACTTTTTCTATGATTTTCAACGTTGGGATCAACACCATTTTGCATTTGCATTTTTACTTTACATTTGCATTGACATCCTTGCATCTCAGCGTTTGCATCTATACACAATTATATTTATTGAAGCATTATAACATTCATGCATTCAATAAAACACCTTAACTAATAAGATAAGATTTTCGTTCGCAGTAATCATAGCCCCTACTAGTAGCAAGAATACTTCATGCCTGCAGAATACAAAGAAGATGACTAAGGAAATGGAAAACAGACTAATGAAATTTGAACAAGAACAAAAGGATATGCAAGAGGACATGAGAAGTAGGTTGACTAAGATCGAGGCCGACATTGCAAACTCACAGCTCGATATATTGAAGAAGATAAAAGATATATTCAAGAAACACATGATTGTTGATAAAGTTCCTACTGAAATCCCCACATCGTCTAGACAAAACCTTACGCATCCTTTGGGTTCTACACCTATTCATATTACTATGGATACTTCTGTACACTAGGAATCTCAACCTCAAGCATTCTTCACCGTTGAAAACTGCCACAATATCATGTTGGAACTTCTAACTATCCTATTGCTTTTGGGGTGAAGTCAAGAGAGTTTCATGCTGACAATGAGGTCCTCGGTCTAGGTGAATTAGATAAGAAGAAAAAACTCTCTCAACAGGTGAAGAATTTGGAGGAGAGCATAAAACTTAGGGAAATAGATGATTCATTTTATGGGATTGACGCAAAAAATTTGAGTTTGGTCCCCGACTTGGTTCTTCCATCAAAGTTCCAAGCTCCTGACTTCGAGAAATATTGTGGAACTACCTTCCCTTTGTCCCACGTCACCATGTTCTGCAGGAGAATGTATGGCTACCCAGAGAATGAGAAGTTTTTGATCCACTTCTTTCAAGACAACCTAACTAGTCCCGCTTCCAGATGGTATAATTAACTAAGTCGTGCTCAAGTCTGTTGTTGGAAAGATTTCACTCAGGCTTTCTTAGGTCAATACAATCACATGACTATATGGATCATAATCGAACAACGTTGCAAAATATAGAGATGAAGCGTAATGAGAGCTTTTGACAGTACACCCAGAGATAGAGGGACGTTGTATCTCGAGTGTATTCGCTAGTAACTGAAAAGAAGTTTATCGTCATGTTCAATAATACCTTAAAATCCCCATATATTGATCACATGATAGGAACTGCCACTAAGAGTTTCTCTGACGTCATCATATGTGGAGAAATGATCGAAAAATCTATCAAGAATGGTAAGATAGGGGGCACTGGCAGTTTTGATGTTGAGACGAGAGCTGAGGTCAACATAATGGGATCTTATTTAGCTAATCATGGGACCGGAGGTCGTAAGGTGAACCGATAAAAGACTCATATCGATCCAATTCTGATGACATACAAAGAATTTCTCCCAACACTGGTTGAGATAAACCTGGTGACTCTAATATAATTCAAGCCAAAGGAACCCTCGTTTCCTGAAGACTATGATGTTAATGTAGTGTGGAGCTACCACATAGGAAGCTCAGGGCACACTACCGAGAATTGTGGGGAATTGAGGAGTAAGGTTAAGAATTTGATCGATTCTGGGCATGAACCTTCAAAGAGTGATGTGGCATTTTGATGCGAGTAAGGAAAAGTTCATTGCATCCACCATGAAGTTTTGTTGCACTTTCATGAAAAACCTTTTTTATCCTGTTTGAACCTATTTTTCCTTCTTTCTTTTTTTAAAAAAGTTTATAAGTCACTTAACGCTCGAACATATTAAATAAAATGTTACCTTATGAGTTTATAAGCAACGAGTAAATTTAAATCTTGAAATTCTTTAGATATCAATAGAATTAAAAGCCCTTTAAATAATCGAAGTTATAAATCTTTGACAAAGTGATAAGACCGAACCTTTTTAAAATGAGGACCCTTGATCTTACTCTAGAAGGTACAATCAAACACCATACTATTCTCTTGCTGGGACAAACGATTTGGCATTCATGTATGTATATGAATGGACAAAATGGGGCACATTGCATATGAGGTTGCAAAGCTGAGTGATTTCTATTTTTTTTGATGATGTTAGATGATGACTATATTCTTTTCATATAGAATGGTGGAGTAGATGAATTTAGTTTAGTTGCTTGAAAATTGAGCTCTGAGGATGGAATTTCCTGACTTTTACTAACACCCAGACTATAACATATTCTTTTTGACTAGTTTAAGAAATCTTAAACTAAAAAACTTAGAGAAATAATGAAAGTAAATTTTAACTTTATTGTGGGACTCTACTGAAAGTATTAAGTTGTTAATCTTCGGAGGTAATGTATGAAGCAACTATGGAGGTAATGTCTGAGCTTTATAAAGTGAGTTCCGTTTGAATGGTCAAGTCGAAGACTTTCTGACACTTGAATCCTCTAATTAGGGGTATTCCACTAAAGTAATGG